AAAAAAAAAAAAAAAGTTTTTTTCCAATCTCTCGATTCTCGAGTTCCATATTAGACACATTAGAGGCAATTTCAGATCGGTAAATCTTGGTAATGATATCTGTAGGTAACAATCGTATGTCTATGGTAAGATAACATTATACTTCAACTTATATTGTTTTTCATTCGATCTAATTTTTAGGATAATAGTGATTTACATTCAAATTATCCGAAAAATTTGTTGTTCTTTGGTTAAAATATGAACTTAAAAATTTAAAGAAGAAATCGAAGAGTTATTTTAATTGTTTCAAATAAGTTTAGACAAGTTTAGAAAAAACAGCTAATTTTTAAGACACAAATGTTGCTTGTTTCACGGAAGTTGAGAATAGTTTGACCTGAAAATCACTCTGCTAAAAGCTAAACATAAATAAATATACATGCATACAGATGTAGTAAGGATGTCACTATGGGTATCGAAGATTTCTTCTATACCCCGAAAAATTGGGGAAAAGTATAATAAAATCTTATAATAAAAGCAAATATTGGTTGATGATTTTTTGTCATTGTAAGCGACTTTAAAACTCCCAGTGAAATTTATGAGAGCAAATATGAACCGACGATCCCACATGTACGACACAGCCAGTCCAAACTACCGGGTTGACCGTCCTGCTCAGTTTAATGTATCTCATTAAACCGATCAGCAGCGTCCACATAAACATCTACGAAAAGCAAGGAAATAACAGTTTTATAAATTTTTCAAATAACTTTTAATTCAGTTGATTATACTTCGAAAAAACTAAAGCCACAACTTACATCTTTTAACAACAATAGCTTAGTTTTATCATGTAATTCTTTCTATGTCGTACCATCTAAGACTTGGTGTTAATGGATCGGGGCTTACATTATTGTACAAACCGCGATTTTGTAAATGGTCAGCATTTACTATCAAAATTTGACGAATAGCATCAAGAACCAACATTAATACTATCGGTTTTAGCCAAGCGTAAAAACCGATAAATGGTGCTTGTCCACTACAGAGGATGTAGAAACGTCGCAAAACATCAGCTATATGCAGCTTACTTCCAATACTTCCAACATTTGTGTTTATCAGGCAGTATACCATGATATTTCCAATAACTGAAAGCTGCTTTCACTTTTAAATAAAGAATTGTCGAATGCGAAACAGGTGAGCATTAAAAATCGTGGCAAATTCATTATTCGTTCCTTTTTGCGGTGCAAATTGTTATCTATTTATATATCGTTAACGAAAGAAGTCTTTTTTTCCAAATAATGTTGCAGATTTCTTTATATCAATTATCTGGATTTTAGTAAATTTGCTATATCGCTGGTACAACCTCAAAGACAATTTTCGAATTGGGACTCCAACTTTGTCAATAAAAATACTGCAATATAGATTAGTTATGCACATTGGATAAGTAAAAGAATGGGAGAAAATGGAAGAAAAAAAGAATTTTCAAAAATCATGAAATATATGTACATTTTGAATTTCTGCGCCTGATTTTCAGGTTACTTTTATGAATGTTTTTCGGCTTATTTATTCCTCAGCAGTAGTACCTACTAAGTCTTCGTCAGGCTATGAGAAAGAGGCATCTTATAAGTATTCTTACTTTTCACTTTACTTTTTTTGGAAACAAATCTTCTACTTGTTGGCTGCCGCGCTTGTTAAACGCGTCAACGATTAGGTGGCAGGCATGTTTAATTTACTCGTTTTGATGTGGTTTTCATTGCAATTCGTAGAAGGACTCTTCCTTTTCTTCTATTTACATTTTGTTCATTCTTGGCGGTGTTCTATGTTATTGTAAACATCTATGTTAAGAAATTTCATTTCTTTTAATGCCATAAAACGAATAATGGAAATGAAGTGAGTTAAGAGGAACTCCGGCATTTTCAATTAAGACGCTGTGTTGCCATATTTGTACAACTTTAGCTCTAACATGCGCTGATATATTATTAATAAGCATCGATAAGTTTTTGTAATGGGCATTGCATTAAATTATACAATTGTATCAAAAATTTACTGCGTTTAACGTCCAAATCAAGATATTCGCAACGAACCTGGCTTAGTTTAGTATAACTCAACATAAAAGAACAAGCAACCTACACTAAAAAGGAACAAGAACAAGCATGGTCTGGTGGCGACTCATCTTGTGTCTTAATCTAAAATTAAATAGAAATAAATAGCTAACTTATTAATGACAATCAGTAAAGATAAATTTAAACTCACCATTGTATTACAGCGATTATTGCGAGGAGGGGGGAGTTCTGGTGTTCTGTTAAATTATTAATAACAATAACTGATGATATTTAGGCATGTTATCGGGAATCTTTAAAATAAAAATATATTTAAAAAAATATCTTTCGTTTCATTGTTTACGCGGAAGAGCTGACGTTCGGAGGAGCTGGCACACAGAAGAGCTGACGTGCGGAGGAGCTGATTTTCATTTATAAGTTAGTTATTTATTTCGCGCCACCGTTTTTTCTGCGCAGGCGTGGCGCACGCGGAAGTGGACGGCCAGTCATTATCCTCTTGAATTCCAACGGCTTTCATTTCTTCCCCCATTTTCTCGGCGAAGTCTTTTCGTGCCTTTAAGGTGTCTTCCTTTTCGAACCCCCGGAATTTCTCCGTTTCAATTAGTGTCGACATCACCTCGGCGGCCCACACATATCCAAGTTCTTGCGCATATCATAGGTACGCTCAAGATTTGGTATGGTTGGACGTTCCTTGCCGATCCAGCTGTTGCAGACGGTGCCTGATTTTTCGTAAATTGTATTTCACACCGGGAACTGGCCCCCCCTGGGCACGCCACAAATTGGGATAGTCTCGAAGAAATCGGCTGAGGACTTCGTGGAGCTCCTCATCGCAACGGGTGGACATACTCGTAAAAACCTTCTTTATAATATTATATATAAAATTCAAGTTTCTAGTGGAATTCCATAAAATAAATAAATAAATAATAAAAATAATTAGATACTAAAAGTTATAGACTAAAAGTATATTTAAGTATTTATTTATAAATAGCTATTAGAAAAATAAAACAACGATCAATTTTTTACAATTAACAATACAAAATTATAAAAAAAAACTTAAATGTAAATTTCAAATAGATAATAAAAACAAACACATACTAAATCCTATAAACTAAATATTGCCAGCTCCGCCTTTTATTTATTTTCTTTATTTTTGTTTTTTGGTCTTTACTTATTTGTTTTTATTCATTTTTTTCATTTATTTATTGAATTTTTAGTACTGTGAACTGAGGAATTAGCAACACCGCCACAAAATTGCTTAATGTGTATCTTATGAAGATTTTGACCGAATTATTATTTATTACAGACTATTCTTCTTGGCCTTAGCGCTGTAAACTGTCTTGGAACAAAAACTTTGTTGATGAAAATATTTTAAGACAAATATATTGGTCTCTTGCTTGCACCACCCTATTAACCCTTTCGCATGCGTAACTTGAAAGCATTTTCTGATCGAATTATTGCAAATGGTATTAAAAGAAACTCTATCGTGCATGAATTCTTTCAATATGACGATACCGTCGATAGCAACTTTGTTTTAAATAACGGTTGCCAGATTGTACCTAAATTGTTTTGTTCATTTGTAATCAGTACAAAATTAATAAAAGAAAGAATTTTTTTGCACAGTCTGTCGTTGGGGTGTACGCAGCCAACTTCAGCATGTTACTCAATTGAATTAAAGCAATTTCATCACCAATGAGTCAAACATAATCTAGAAAGCAAAAAATTAAATATTTTAATAAAAAAGGATCAATATTTCATCAGCACGTGAAATTTTAAATATCATCAAAGGATTTCTATTTGGATTATGGATCTAAATTTAAGTTAACACCCCCTAATACAAACCAAAAAAAAAGAAAAAAAGAATTTTGACTTCATTAAAATCTTTAAAACGTGGAGGGACAGTGGAGGTAGATAATTTTAAATATATACCGAATAATAAATTTAACATATTTCATTTGTATACTGTCAGAATGCTGCACGTGATTTTGTGCGAAATTTGTTGGAGAAATCGCAAGCGGTCCAGCAATGTGTATAAGTAGTTGGAGTGGTTGGATGGAACGAATAAAACAAAGCGTTTTGAAAACCCTTTAGCGAGAATAAGTAAAGAACTTATTATTCCTATTATTTACATATGGTCATGGTTTGATCATTTTCTTTTGGGCTTCCACGAATTACGTAAAAGTTATCGTTCAACTTATGCATTACTGGATAAAATTTGTGATTTTTTATATGTGGTCGGCTTACCCGGCTTATAGTAAGTATAAGGAGTTCCACCTTTATCTTAACTTTTCATAGACATAAGTTGGAAAGCCAACTTTCTTTCAATTAAGTCATCTATAAAAAAAAATTAAATTAAATCAATTTATAAAACGTTCATAAAGCATTTAAGCAGTTCCAAGTTTTTCAATTTTCCAATCACCATTAAACCTTGATCGTTAATGTTACCACATTCGGACACTTGCAGCACTTTTAGAGACTGAGTTAAATAAACTATCATTGAGACCTTGAAAGCAGTACCCCCCCATGCCCCTATTTGATTTTTACTCAATTTTTCACGTTTTTCATTCAAATTAGATTGAAGCTCCATTCATTTGATATATTATACGAGTTTTTGTTTAAATTTAATCGTCAGCGTGCATGCTCAACATTGATTTTTTAACAATAGCTATGTATAAATTCCTTTTTAGCAAAAAAATAAAGTACACGAATAATCTTCAACGAACTTTAAGGATCACTATTGCGTTTCCCAGCGCTCTCGCTAAAACTTGTACGTATCTTTCAATTCATATTCGTTTTTTGAATGCAAGAGTTGCTAACAAATACAGACTGACTCTTTGAATTCTCCTCAATTGTAAACAAATAAAAACTGACTTTTACAATCATTCCCAATTTTAAACAAATACAGAGCTTACTCTCAGATGTTACGAAATTCAGACGCTTACTCTCAGATGTTACCAAATTTTTTGAATTACTTTCAGATGTTACGAAATTTATAGTCGTTTTTTCGATGCAACAGTTGTTAACAAATACAGACTGACCGGTAAAATATATTTACTTGATCGTGAAGTAGAGCGAAGCTCCATTCACTTGATATATTCTACAATTTTTTTTCAAATTTAATTGTCAGCGTGCGTGTTTTTTTTAGAACTTATTGAACACCACAAATAAGGAAATATAAACATTGTTATTCAAGTTGATATAGTGCGATCATTAAGATCATTCTTCACGATGTCTCAACGAAAAAAAAAAACGGTTAAAATCTACTCGTTGTTCAAATAACATAAATTATTTTACTTCTTCTAAATGTTCTTGCTACGGCAGAACATATACTAAAATTGGAACAATAATAATACTTCTTCTAGAAACAAAAACCGTTTCCTTAATATATTTGCTGCAGTAGCGGCCGCTTTTAAATCTTTGATATATCCGCCTGGGTGGCCGAGTAGGCGAGAGTCTCGACTAGCAACTCAGTGGTCGTGGGTTCGAATCTCAAGTGCGGTAGAGTTTTTAATAAAGGCCGATAGCCGTAGATGCTAGTGCTTTTAAGAGTTTAGTCTTAGAATTTATTTCTCTGGCGAAATTAATAATAATAATAATAATAATAAATTGATTTTTAAAGCATCAGACCTAAGTGATGATTTTTAATTTATTGTTTCAAATCATACATTTCGTTTGAAACTTGTTTTATTTATTTTCGATTTGGATCATTTTTTGCGAAATTGACTTAATCGTTAAATGAATAGCGATGAAGAGCTGCATTATATCTTTTATGTAGAAACGTTTATATAGTGTTTTTTTTTTAATTTTAGTTTTCTCTTTGACGGTTTATTTTCCATCTTTAAATTTTTATTGTTTCCATAATGGATATTGGCATTTTAAAAAACGTCATCAAATCCCTAATGTTTTCCTACCCGGAAAGCATGACTATACAATAATTATGTCGTGATTACAATGAAGAAGAAGGTTAAGACATACTGGATGCTATAAAGGTAGGAAGTTTTGGTTTATAGTTGCTTAAACATGCATTTAAAACTTTCTTTCTATTCATTTCAGATCGCTGGTGATCGTCCTAACGCGGTGGTTAAGGCCGAATCGAGTGAAAATACGAAACACATAGAGAAGATGATAAAGAAACAAAAGAGACCACGGAGAAAAAAGCCTCAATAATCAGCATTTAACATGTATACGACGAGGGACCAACAACGTCGGCGAAAGCAGCGCAGAGGGAGAAGAGTAGACGCATTGTACCCGCTGCAATCGAAGATGAAGGCCAGGAAGTAGCTCAAAACTTAGTGGACGTCGAGGCGCTGTGCACACAAATGAAGAAACAAGATATTCTCAGACCGAGGATATGGTATATGCTTGCGGTTACGACGACACGAAAAAAGTTACAAAGACGGAAGAATACCGAACAATCCTCGTCTTAGGTGTACGTAGCCTGCTAACAACTTTTAACGTGCTAATCAGCGCCATTCCCATAACCAGCTATAGCGGAGATCCGAACTAGGCAGACGTTTAGCTATCGCAGAGGAAATCGGACTGGACGTGAAAGCAGTAGTCTGCTATAGGAGCAAACCAAATCTGAATACACTGAGAAAGGGAACGGGAAGTGCAAACGGAAACGAGCTGATGGTACCATGTACGTAATCCCACGAATGTTCGATTACATACATCTGCTCTATGCGTTTCGAGATAATGTTGTTAACAGCAAATTGTTTGACCTCACTATCGTCACCAAGGCAGAAATAGAAAAAAAGCACATCTCGAAGTACCTAAAGAAGAGAGATGGTTGCCTATTAAATACCTCAGCTCGAACGTACAATGAATTTATACAATTATTAACCCTCGCAACGGTAGCATCCTTGAAACTCGCTACGAAACGAAAAATTATTAAAGGAGCAAAAGAAATGCGAACATATGAAGTCATCGCTGCTCTCACTAAATTCAACACAATTTTTCACAGTGGCAAGATAAGCAGCGCCAAATGGGAACGGAAGAAAGAGGTGCCAGCGGAAGTTAAAAAATTTCAACTTCATGGAAATAATGGATGGCCTGCTGGAGGCTTACCCTGGCATAAATATCCACGCCTACAGGGTAAGCCAAGACCTCTTGGA